TATTGTGGCTAGTTCCCGGAGCTGAGATCCTTGTTTCTCAGGGAGGTGAAACACTGCAACACCATGACCATTAACACAACAAACTCCATGTATACATAATAAATAAATATTAAAAAAAAAAAGCTCTCCCATCTTAAGGGGCTGGAGAGATGGCTCAGCGGTTAAGAGCATTGCCTGCTCTTCCAAAGGTACTGAGTTCAATTCCCAGCAACCACATGGTGGCTCACAACCATCTGTAATGAGGTCTGGTGCCCTCTTCTAGCCTGCAGGCATACACAGAACATTGTATACATAATAAATAAATATTAAAAAAAAAAACACAACAAACTCCAGACCCTGCCAAGGACCTCACTCTATTCCAGGACTCACCTCAATACCACAGTGTGCTCTCCTCCTGTTGCCGTTGTTATTAACGTCACCACTGGCAGCAAATGCTACTTGCTGTTTACTTAAACACTCCTGGGTAATGTCAGGTACCATGGAGTATCAAATTGCTGCCATTTAGGGGAGAGAAGTGAGAATTGAAGCGTGTCGACATAAAAAAGCATAGAAGCAACTGGCACAGCTTGTTCCAAGCCTTTGTTGACCCTGTTGATAAAAGTACCAGCGTCTGGGTGGTGTCTTAGTTAGGATTTCCATTGCTACAGTGAAACACCGTGACTAAAAAGCAAGTTGGGAGCAAAGGGTTCACTCAGTTTACACTTCCACATTGCTGTTCATATTAACGGGAGTCAGCACAGAAACTCAAACAGGGCAGGATCCCAGGGGCAGGAACTAATGCAGAGGCCATGGAGGGTACTGTTATTGGCTTGCTTCCCACTGCCTTGCTCAGCCTGCTTTATATATATAATAATAATATATATATTATTGATATTTATTGAGCTCTACATTTTTCTCTGCTCCCCTCCCTGCCTCTTACCTCCCCCCTTCAACCCTCCCCCAAGGTCCCCATGCTTCCTATTTTCTCATGAGATCTTGTCTTTTTCCACTTTCTACTTCCCATGTAGATTAGATCTATGTAAGTCTCTCTTAGTGTCTGCATTGTTGTCTAAGTTCTCTGGGATTGTGGTTTGTAGGCTGGCTTTCTTTGCTTTATGTTTAAAAACATCCTATGAGTGAGTACATGTGATAATTGTCTTTCTGGGTCTGGGTTACCTCACTCAAAATACTGTTTTTCAGCTCCATCCATTTTCCTGCAAAATTCAATATGTCGTTATTTTTTTCTGCTGTGTAGTACTCCATTGTGTAAATGTACCACATTTTCCTCCTCCATTCTTCAATAGAGGGGCAGGTTCTGGCTATGACAAACAAATCAGCCTGCTTTCTTACAGGATCAGAACCACCAGACCAGGGATGGCCCCACCCACAATGAACTAACCCCTCCCACACTGATCACTAACTGTGAAAACTGCTTGCAGCTGCCAGGCAGTGGTGGTGCACTGTTTTAATCCCAGCACTCGGGAGCAGAGGCAGGCAGATCTCTGTGAGTTCGAGGCCAGCCTGGTCTACAAGAGCTAGTTCCAGGACAGGCTCCAAAGCAACACAGCGAAACCCTGTCTGGGGCTGTGGGGAATGCCTTACAGCTGGATCTCATGGAGGCATTTCCTCAACTGAGGGTCCTTCCTTTCCAATGACTCCAGCTTGTGTCAAGTTGACACAAATCCAGGTAGTATAGAGAGAGATTTCTGTTTTCTTAAGTCAAGAATCAGTTGGTTTGTGTTATTGTTTTAAAAGTGTGTATGAGTGTAGGAGCTTTTAAACACTGCCTGGCCCATTAGTTTCTAGCCTCTTATTGGCTAACTCTCACATCTTGATTAACCCATTTCTAATCATCTGTGTGGCACCACGAGGTGGTGGCTTACCGGGAAAGATTCAGCATGTCTGGCCTGGTGGCTGGCTCCATGGCATCTGCATCACTGCCTTCTTCCTCCCACCATTCTGTTCTGTCTTCCCCGCCTACCTATGTTCTGACCTATCAGGCCAAGCAGTTTTCTTTATTAATTAACCAATGAAAGCAACAGATAGATATAAGATCCACCTACATCATATGAGAGCGTAAGTGTGTGTGTGTCTGTGTGTGTGTGTTAGTTTTTACTCTTGTTTTATTTATTTGGGATGGGATCTCCTATAGTCCAGACGGACCTCACACTATAAGGCTGTCCTTGAACTCCTGGCCCTCCAGGTGTCCTTGAGATTGTAAACCAAACCCAGCTGATTTATGCATTAATTAATTTTTATTATTATTTATTAATTTATTTACTAATAAAATTTATCTTTTCTTTAAATATTTTAGCACACCATTAAGTACTTTTCTACCTCCAGCACTGCACAAAAACAAAAAAACAATATATACTTGAGCCTTTATATCACGAATCACTCAATTTTTCTCTTGTAACAAATTCAGAGGTGTTTAGGTTATTGTTTGTTTTATTAAGATTTTTAAATAGGACTTGTGTTTGGAAAAATGTGTAATTTAAAATGTAATGTTTTTCCTAATGGAATATTTTTTATTCTTAGTAGGCTTTAGCAGTCTCTGTTAGTCTTTCCACGTATAGTATACAAACAGAATGGTACCTTTCCCTCAAAGCTCAAAGTGAAATAAATATTTGTTCATAAACTCTGTCTCTCTGACCAGCTTTGAATGTCTGGCCCAGTCTTCTTTATTGTATTAAAGCGATGAGATTCAGGCTGGTGCTCACTGAGTCCTGGCATGGGGCAGTATGCAGGTCAGATGGTGATGCTCCCTGAGGAGGGCCACAAAGACAACGTGCTGCTATCTAAATCTTTAGTCTCTTTCTGCTGAAATTGGTGTCTGATCCTAAAGTCCATATGAAAATGAAATGAGACCAGAGCAGGCACAGAAAAGGAGGAGGAGAAAGAAGAGGAGGAAGAAGAGGCAGCAAACTGGAGGAGTCACCCTTCTCAAATCCACAGCTAGCTATAGAACTATAGTGGTCAGGGCTGGGTCGTGTTGGCACAAGCCAGACACACAGATCAGTCAGAGGGAACCTGGAGGTGAATCCATGCATTTGTTGCAGTTGGTCATGGTGCAAAGACAATGAAGGAAAGAATCATTTTTCCATCAGTTGACCCAATAACATCCTTTAGGGGCATTTTCCTCCTCCATCACAGGGCCAGTCTGGAATCAGATATTGCATTTAGTTGATATATGTATTTGCTTTCAATTGCTGTGATAAACACTAACCAAAACCAGTTTGAGAAGGAAAGGTTTATTTGGCTCATGTTAGCCTGTCACGGTCCTATCCCTGAGGGGAGTCAGGGCAGGTGCCAAACAGAGGCTACAGAGGAATGCTGGCTACCATCTCGCTCTCCACTGCTTGACTTCTTATACAACCCAGGACTACGTGCCCAGGGGTGGTACCACACCCTCCATAAGCTAGACCCCTCCCACATCAATCATTGATCAAGAAAGTACTCCCACACTCAGGCCAATCTGATAGAGGCAGTTCCTCAACTCAGGGTCCGTTTTCTCTGGGTGACTAGTTTGTGTCAAGTTGACAAAACTCTATCCTCCGCTGGCTGAAACGATTTTCCAACAGGGATAATTTGAATAAAAGAAAGAACTCTGTAGCTAAGAGTATGTTCTGCTCTTCCAGAGAACCAGAGTTCAATCCCCAGCCGGTTACTGCAGAGAGATCCAAGGCCTCCAGCCCCCTCCAGCATGTGTAAACACACACACACACACACACACACACACACACACACATACACCCTTGGACGTGCACACACACACCACACACACATGCACACAACTAAAAATAATAAAAATAAAACATTTTTTAAAAAGAATCCAAGCCCTGTCTCCTGCCCCCGTTTAATACAGTCTTGTTTCTCTGTTGGTGTTCTGTGGTCAGATTCAGAGCCGCAAGACTGTATAGGGAACACCACATCTTCCTCAGGGTACCACATCTGGATGCTGTGTGTCCACCTGGTCCTCATCAGTAAAGATCACACAGTCAAGGTGGTACCTGATTCATCCACGCTGTAATTTTGCGTCCCTCGAAACCAATAAACAGTTGTAAAGAGCCAATTTAAGACTATGCAGATGCCCTGCTTCTCGTTAGTTTCTCCCTAGAAATACCCTATCGAGCATTGCTTGCCTTTCCAAGGAGCGAAGAAAGCGCCGTGGGCGCCACCTACGGGGCTGCCATCACACTGCAACAGGGCTATGAACTTTGTCGCACTTCCCTGTTGTCCAAGCGCAGGAACAATTTCAGTCTCAGACATTTTGGAAGGAGAGACGACAAGACTCCTGTGTCACGAGGCTGAGTTCTAGCCCAGCACTATCATTAACTCATGATGGCGACTTGAGCAGGTTTTTCTCAAGACCTTCGAGAGACCAGTGCAACCAGAAGTTGGATGACAGGAATTAAGCGTTTACACATTAATTTATTCAAATATTTGCTGAGCAACTGTAGACACTCTTCTAGAATGGAGGCAAGGTTTCTGCTCTCAAGGGATCCTACACCCATGAAGGGTGACCCAAGAAGAGAATGGCTAAAGGAAACGTGTGAGTATGGACTGTACTGAGTGTAACGGCAACCGGAAACGCGGATGGTGGAAGGCTTGGGTCTCCCTGAGAGTGTGGGAAAGCTCCCTGAGGAGGCTGGAGCTGAGGCAGGAGGATGGTGTGGGAAGCCGTGGGGGAGGGCTCTGGGCATCGGAAAAGAAGTCGGCTGTCAGTGATAGTGAGGCATTTGGCACCTTTCCTGTCTACGTCTATCATTCTCGTGTAGGGTAGGAATGGGGGCTTATCTCCATGTTATCCACGAGGTAGGGAAGGAGGGAGGAACAGACAGACGGACAGAATGAGGGAGGGAGGGAGGGAGGGAGGGAGGGAGGGAGGGAGGGAGGGAGGGAGGGAGGGAAGAGAGACTGATAGATTGAGATTTTCTCTGATATAACAAGGAGAGATTCCAGGGGGGTAACAAAGGAGCTGGTTTTTAAAAGATGAGTTAAGATTTTTTAACACAACTTTTTATTGATTCTTGGGAATTTCACGTTATGCACCCCAATCCCACTCAGTTCCCAGTCTTTCCATATCCTCCCCCCACCTTGCAACCTCTCTCCCAAAAGAAAATTAAAAATTTAAATTGAAAAAAAAAAAAAAATCTTGATGACCACTCTGGGCAACCAGTTAAGATTTTGTAAGGCTGGGACTGGATAATGGCTCAGCACATTGAAGCACCTGTTGCCAAGTCTGGGCCCTGAGCTCAACTCCTGGGACCCACATAGGAGAGAACCAATTCCTATAAGCTGCCCTCCAACTTTCACACACATAACATTTGTTTGAGTGTGCATGTGCACACACACACAATAAAAGTGTAATAAATGCCTTGTTTGGAAAGGTAGAATATAGAGCAAAGAAAAACGCCTGTGATAGTTTGAATGAACAGGGTCCCCCATTGCACATGTATTTGAACACTTGGTCCCCAGTTGGTGGTGGTGTTTGGGGAGGTTATGGACTTTTCAGGAGGTGCAACCTTGCTGGAGGAAGTATGTCACTGGGGACAGGCCTTTGGAGTTCATAACTTTCCAGTTCCACTTGCTTGCTCTGTCTTCTCTGTGTGGTTGAACATGGAATTTCTCAGCTCTCTGCTCCCACTGCCTGCTGCCTGCCTCCCCCTCCATGATGGGCTCTTAATTCCCTGGAGTTATAAGACAAATCAATTCTCCCTTAACTTGCTATTGGTCATAGCATTTATCACAACAAAAAGAAACCAATATTGAGACCGAGGAGATGGCTTAGTGGTTAAGAGCAGTTGTTGGTCTTGCAGAGGACTAGAGTTTAGTTCCCACATCCCATGACCTTCCAGATTCCAGTTCCAAGGGATCTGATGCCCTGTTCTGACCTCTGAGAATCCCAGGCATGCACATAGTGCACACACATACATGCAGGAAAAACACATATACACATAAAATAAAAAATAAAATGTAATAACTGTTTTTAAGAAACTAATGTAAAGCTGGGGACACCTTTAATCCCAGCACTCGGGAAGCAGAGACAGGCGGATCTCTGTGAGTTCGAGACCAGCCTGGACTACAAGAACTAGTTCTAGGACAGGCTCCAAAGCTACAAAGAAACCCTGTCTCAAAAAATAAAAAAGAAAGGAAGAAGGAAAGGAAGGAAGGAAGGAAGGAAGGAAGGAAGGAAGGAAGGAAGGAAGGAAGGAAGGAAGAAAGAAAAGAAAAGAAAAGAAAAGAAAAGAAAAGAAAAGAAAAGAAAAGAAAAGAAAAGAAAAGCTAATATAACGTTCCACGCACTACAGAGAAGGGAGGAGGAATGGAGGAGTATACTGAGAAGGCACTGGCCAGAACACTTCAGAAGCCCAGCAAGATCCATTTTGAAAGCTCCTAGTGTGTGGCCAGACTTCCTCACTATTGGGAGACCCTGGCCCTGAGCGTATCTCCTCTGTTTCCTGGCTGCTTGACCCTTGGTTCTGTCTTCTAAGAGGCTCTCCCATTTTCTCAGTCCTTTCTTGTCATCGAGAGCTATTTAAAGTCCTGAACAGTTACTGCTCTGTTAGTCGCAGGTCAACTCTCTCTGGAAGGAAACCGCTCGCTCTTCAAACAAAAACCTTGTCCATCTTCTACCGCCTGCCTTCTACCCAGGCAGCAACCATGCCAAAAGTTATGCCACACCTCTTTCCCTCTCCTCTTCCCAGTCCACAGGCTTTGGTGGGAAAGTTATTTCCATCTAAAAGATTCAGAGGGCTCTATGCTCTGATTTTACATGTTCCCTGAAGTGCTTTAAGGCATTCAATGCTTCAGCAAAGGGTAGTATGTCCACACTCATCTTAAGGCTGAATTTTAACACACCTTCATATTCAGACTTCCTCGATTTTATCTTTCAGGATTCGGGGCGAAAGGAAATTCCACTGTCAAACCCTACTCTGTTTTCTCTCAATCCTGCTTGAAGGCAAGGTAATCCTTTTCTGAACTCATGCCTTGATACGCAGAATATTGAGTAACATAGTAATATTGAGTAATATAAGTAAAATTTAATTTCCCCTCTTCTCTCCAAGTGTTCAAATTCAAAATATACGGCCTGCCTTTCAGGTTAGCACAGACCATAGTTTTACCAGATGTTTCTCCACTGCATAGCTTCAGCCACCATCTTCCCAGGCACCAGTACTAACTTGCTACACACCAAAGCCAATACCTTGGATCTTAGGGTTTTGTTATTGGTTTTCCCCCACTCCCAAAGAAAGTCAAATTGCCTTGTGTTGTAGGTTAGTTTATGCTATACTAATGGATGCCCCTCAATTCTCACAGACTTAACAGAAGTCCTCACTATGCAAAATATGCCAGTGATATAGGCAATATTCCAAAGCAGATGGTCTCCATATACCAGCACAGCATAGCAGACTACTCAAACATCAGGCAGTGTTATAGCAATATGCACTTTCTCATACCTCCGCTGGGAAAGAGAAAACAAACAGTAACTCAGAAATCAAGTATTTTCATCCCACAGATGATCTACCTGGCTTCCACGTGTGCTTCCTGGGCCAGATCAAGTCTCATAAGCACATCTAAACCAAAGGTCGTGAAGCAGTGCAAACCCAGGCTCTTGGAAGGGGGAAAACGCTAGAATCTTGAAAAGTTCATGTCTCCCTCTGGTGTATGTCGGAGCTGTTCCTTTTGCCTTCTGTGCGCTATGATTTTGATGCCCTGTCTGCTTCTTATGCTTCTTAGTCAATGTGCTGTATTCTACATCTCAGCTCTTGCACTCCTAGAAAGTTCTCAGGCACGCTCTTCAGGGTTCCTCTCCTCACTTCAACAGCAATGCATATCCTAAAAGATGGCTGTTCAGCCTTCTGTACCACTTCACGCCTCATCCTGCCCCAGCCCTCATTGGAGCGCCACTCTGAGTTCTGCTGTTGCTTATGATTATCGCTCAGAGGAGACTCTCCATGTTAGCTTGTTGTCAATTCATTTTTTTGTTGAGATTAAAATATGGGAAATCATGCTGGGCCATGGTGGCCCACACCCCTAATCCCAGGGTTTGGGAGACAGAAACAGGGGGGGTCTCTGAGTTTGAGACCAGCGTGGTCTACAGAGTGATGGTCTAGGACAGCTAGGGTTACACAGAGAAACCCTGTCCTTCAAAAGCAAATAAATATGTATGAAATCTGTTGTCTTACACACGCACACAGGGAGGGGTGACATTCGTTTCTGCCAAGACTTTGTGTGTCATGGTGCTAAAGTAACTGAATGCCTTTGGGGTCCAGACCTAGTGTAGAAGTCTCAGGGTGAGCATGAGTGAGGCTATGTGGCCAGTAGACTAACAGTGTTCTTAGGATAGGTGAGGAGGACCTGAAGGACAGGCAAGTCCACATAAACACATCCTGGAGAGGACCCCTCATGGCTGTTCATAACTAACTGGCTAAAACTTACTCAAAATATACTATCCAGTCATAGGGGTGGAGAATCTGAGGGGAAGGCTATGACTGAAATTAAGAAGACATAGCCAGGAATGGTGGTGCATGCCTTTCATACCAGTACTTAGGAGGCAGAGGCAGACAGATCTCTATGAATTCCAGGAATAGTGAGTCCCGTGCCAGCCAAGGTTACATAGTGAGATCCTCCATAAAAAAATGTTTAAGATGATGATGGTGGTGGTGATAGGAATGGTGATGATGGCAGTGGTGGTGGTTATGGTTGGTGTGGTGGTGATGGTGTTGGTAATGGTGGTGGAGGTGGTGGTGGTGGTGGTGGTGGTGGTGGTGGTGGTAGTAGTGGTGGTAATGATGATGATGATGATGATGATGATGATGGATAGTAGCATTAATTAGCAAGGAGTCTCTGCTACAATTGAAGGTGGCCACTAGAGTCCAGTTACAATCTGCCCGTTCTTATTCCCAGAGTCTCTATAACATAAAAAAATTAAAATGTACTTATAGCCAGTAATAATTAGTTTTTATTTCAAAACTTTAAGTTTTTTTTAATTTTGTTTCAATTGGTCAGAAGTAATTCCATTTACACTAGGGTTGGGTTTCTTAATAATTAATTTTGTTAAAAAATAATTAATTTTGTTTGTTCTTGGTTTGGTTTTGGTTTTGTATTTTTGATACAGAATCTTTCTACCTAGCCCTGGCTGTCCTGACACTCATTGTGTAGACCAGGCTGACCTTGAACTCAAGAGATATACCTGTCTTTGCATCCCTGGTGTTAGGATTAAGGGCATTTTCTACCACCCCAACCTTAACAATCAATGTGTTTAATGTAATTGTGTGGCTTATAGACATTTAATTAGACCTTTTAAAAAAATTTTGAGAGAGACAGGATCTTACCATGTAGCTTTAAATAATCTTGTAATTCACTTGAAACTGAGACTGGCCTTAGACTTACAGCAATCCCCTCCTGCCTCTGCTTCCTGGATGCTGGGAATATGGGCGTGTGCCACCACCCTGGGAATACAGGCGTGTGCCACTGCCCTGGGAATACAGGCTTGCACCACCGCCCTGGGAATGCGGGCATGCACCACCGCCCTGGGAATACAGGCTTGCACCACCACCCTGGGAATACAGGCTTGCACCACCGCCCTGGGAATGCGGGCATGCGTCACCGCCCTGGGAATACAGGTGTGCACCACCACCCTGGGAATACAGGCTTGCACCACCGCCCTGGGAATGCGGGCATGCACCACCGCCCTGGGAATACAGGCTTGCACCACCACCCTGGGAATACAGGCTTGCACCACCGCCCTGGGAATGCGGGCATGCGCCACCGCTCTGGGATTACAGGCGTGCACCACCACCCTGGGAATACAGGCGTGCATCACCGCCCTGGGAATACGGGCGTGCACCACCACCCTGGGAATATGGGCATGTGCTCCCACTCTGGCTTATGTTTCCTATTCCTAACTACATTCATCCCTTGGAGGGGTCCATACTTGTCATAGCATGCTTGTGGATCAGAGGACAGCTTTTTGGAGCAGCTCTTTCTGCCACGAGTCCAGGACTGAACTCGGGACAAGCACCTCACTCACAGGTCATCTCTCTGGCCCTTGTCTATCTTTATTTATTGTTTCTCGGGACTTTTTATAGTCTCTGAAAAGTTCTCTCGTGCCTAAATACTATGCTCATTACATAAATCATCCCCAGGCCAGGCATGGAAGCAGAGGTCTGTGTACTGGGGCGGAAGAGAGATAGTTTGAAGCCATGGAACCAAGTATCACGGAGCAAAGGCTCAGTGTCCCGGGACCTAGAGAACACCAACCATGACATGAGGACAAAACACAGGCAACAGCACAGGAAAAGAAAGAGTGCCAGGCTCTTGCACAGCTGGGAGGGGAAGAGCTGAGATCTACAGGCCTCGCCTGGAGCATTAAAACCCATGAGCATGAGATTTTGGGGCTCACTTGATACCACACTCCTACCTTCCTCCCCCTTGCCTGGCTGCAATGACAACATCAGAGGAAAAGTATGTTAAAAGGGAGGGCTAGCGTGTCAGGTGACATCAGGTGACACTGGGACATCCAAGTGAGCGGCCAGCTGTCATGGCGTGGATAGGTCTGGGGCTCAGAGGAGGGGTTCATGACCAGCTGTCATGGCGTGGATAGGTCTGGGGCTCAGAGGAGGGGTTCATGACCAGCTGTCATGGCGTGGATAGGTCTGGGGCTCAGAGGAGGGTTCATGACTTAGCAGACTCTCAGGACTTCTGCACCAGGGTGATTAGTTACAAGACACAGAAGCCAATGGTTACTAATTAAACAGAAAGTGGATTTACTAAAAGACTTTTTAGGTGGCCCACCGATCAGGAGGGTCAGAGTTAATCTCGGTACTCCATCCAGGCCAGGAACAGTCCCTGAAGTCTGCTGACAGAACCATCACTGCCACCAGCACCCAGTGCTTCATCCTCTGCTGCTGCCATGTAAACCCCACCTCCCATAGCTATACCCCACCCTGGAGCTGGAGTTTCAGGAGGTTGCGAGCAGCAGTGTGGTGGGTGCTGGGAACTGGAACTCAGTCCCATGGAAGAGCAGTATGAACCGTGAACCACTGAGCCATGTTTCCAGATCCTCATTTCCTCCTTGAACCATGACCAGCAGACTGAAGAGATGTTTGGAAATCAAGATTGTGAGGTGTTTTGTGCTTGTTCTTTCCCTCTCTTCCCCACCCCTCTGAGTGTGCGTGCGTGCGTGCGTGCGTGTGTGTGTGTGTGTGTGTGTGTGTG